TCCATCACCGCCACCCCATCCATATTTCCATTTCCAACGCGGGCAGGCCAGGCAAAAGCAAAAGCTATTCACCCCATATTTGTTTTGGCTTTTTGGTACGCAAAACGAGGGGAGAAACTTTTTGGTGCCCATTTCCATTTCCCAGCTGTGTCCTGGCATCCCCCTCCACCCCCCACTCCCACTTGTTCGGTGTGTTTGCCCGTCCAGTGCCGGACGATGCCGCGAGCGTAAATATGCTTTGCAGGCAGTAGTCGCTGATTTATGCTCTTTTTAATGTGGCCAAAGTAAATGTCATTTAATTACACCCGATTTAATGGAATTTTACGCATTATCGGTAAATTTTTCTGAAAACTTCCTGCCTCGCCTCGCCTCGCCACCCCCTCCTCCCCCCATCCCTTGCTTCCTTCCGTCCGGACCACTGCCGCCGCCGATGGCCTTTTAACAAGTCTCAGATGGGGTCAGGGTCTGGGTCTGAATCTGGGTCTGGCCACAGCCCAAGGGGCCCCGCCCGCAAGTCGGAGGAAAAGTTTGGCAGGTCGGAGAACAGGGCAAACAAAGGTCCTCTAAGTAGATCTAGACGCGACACACTTCAAAGGAATGCCCAGCATTTTTGTAAAGAAAATATTTGTGCCCAGCGCACTGTGTTTAGACAATTCCTCTGTTATCTCTCCATCAACTTGTTTTGATTACAGCTCACCAAAGGAATCAGTTTCAGAATGGCAGAAAATAGGCGTGGAATCTCCACAAAAAAGTGAATTTTTGATTGTACAACTAATTTAAATGAATTACAAATACAAAACGCTGCCAGGGAGCATTCATTTCGCACGATTGAACTCGCTTGCGATGCTGCAAACATTCCGTAAAATTTAGTACCCAGCAAATAGCTAGATTTCTCGATAGTATAAGGAGTGCATATGGCCAAAGCATACAATATTTGACCCCCAAAAAGTATGCTACATTTATCAACACTCTCTCAGTTTGCAGGCGCAATTCAAATGTTGTATGAGTAACATTAAAGCGGAAACATTAGTCCAAAGCAGTCGTAATAAATAATAGTTAAATAATTAATAGTTAAATAAAAATAAATAAAGAAAAACCTCGTGATATAAGCTGAGAAATCAGACATTCAGAACTCCAAAGTAAAAACGTTTTAGGCTGAAAAGTTCGTCTACCACTTTAGGGTTACCCATGATATAATTCTTGGTTCATCTTTTAATGGTTCAGAAGGTTTTATAGTCTTCATATTTATACTGCCATATTTTTTACTGGTTAGTTGAGTTCCTGCATATTTTACAAAATCAATACAAATATTTTAAAAGCAAGAAAACAAATATCAAAATCGTTAAAAAATACCTGTATTGATTGAATTTAATAGTTGAATAATTCCAATCATACCACAGTTAGTTACAAGCAAAGGAATAATTAACAGATATCAATTAAAAGTCCAGTCGAAAATTTGAAATATTTATATGTTAATTAGATAGATTATATAAGTTTTTAAATATGTTCAATGAATTCTTAAAAATCACTGCAATATTTAGTTCTTTTATCGAGCTTTTAATGTTCGCTTTTTGTTGTTTTATTTTAAGATAAATAAATCCTAAGCTTTTGCCGGACTAAACTAAACAAAATGCTTATTAATAATGAAACAAGAAAGTTTGCGGTTTCTGGGAAATAAAAGATTACCAACACAAAAAAACCAATATTAATACCACATTACGGGGGAGGGGGAGTGGCAAGCTCTGCTGTAATTGGCGTAACCGCACAGGTGATTTCAAAGGCACTTGCCAACCAACATTACGACGAGTCTGACGGCCAACATCTCATTACAGGTAATGCTCTGCCCTGGCAGTTCCTGGCAGGCTGGCTAATCCGTAATGCGGCGGAAATCGGTGTAAAAACAAGAAGAAAGTACGCGGAAACACAAGGAAATATTTCACAGCACATGGCCCTGGCCCTGGCCCTGGCACTGGCCCTGGTCACATCTGTCCCAAAGCGAAAGCCAAAATTACATTAGAGAAACGGCAGGCAGGCAGGCGGGCAGCCGGGGTGAGTTGCATATTTCAAGGAGCCCGACAATATCTGGCGGATGGTGGTGGGGGGAATGAGGGATTTTGGGTGTTTTGGTGGGTATGGTTGCCTTTAAACAGCATTAAAATGCCCTGTCCCACGCCCCCCCCCCCAAGCTGTTAGAAGAAGGTAATTGCTATAAAATTGCTTTGTAATTGCTTACTAGAAACAAATAGCCGTCACATTAATAAAAACAAAAAAGTAAAAATGTTCCGTCGCCCTACTACAGTGAGGCCAACCAACCAAACCAAACCAAACGAGACCAAACCATCCATCCACAGTGAGCCCCACTCAAAGTGGTGACGTGGGTCTAACACTCGGCTCGCTGTTCGGGCACGGGTCCGAGGGCGGGTGTGCCGATCTATTTCCCCTGAACCGCTTTATTTAATTAGACGCTCACAAACCAATTAATCAATTTGCGCTTTCCCCCCTAACCACCCCCCCCCCCCCGCCCCACTACATTCAACATTTTCTCAGTGCCTGTTCTTGGTGCTATTTCTGTTACTTGCCCGCCCGCGCGCACTTGTCTCAGTGCATTGTCAATGTCAAATTATGTACACTTTTATGCTAAAATAATGTAAATGCTCGCTGGCATTTCACGGGGCCATGTAATGAAGACTAACTGGCGCATAATACACCAACAAACAAAAAAAAGAAACACAAAAAATAAATAGAATCCTGTTAAGACCATTTATCACTCGACAATTTGTACGAGCCCAATTTTGTGCTGTGTTTGTGTTTTGTGCTGTTGACGTGAAAATTATTTACAGAGGACTGATTTCACCCTCTTGAAATTGTGTTAACCGCATTTTGCGTAATGCCCGGCGCCGCGGCTACGTGTTGTACTGCCAAAAAAAATATTTACTCAAGTCTCACGGATGGACTGAAAGGGACACCCTCCACAAAAAAAAAGAATCATTACCAAATCTGTCTTTGATTTTCAAATTTGAAATATATTCGAAGGACACCACTAAAACTGAGTGGTCGCATGGCGAACCTCTCTTGAATGCGTATACATATGTATGCAGCTGAATATATATTTTAATGGACTGCGTTCTGTCCCATAAAACTAAATAAACAATTTATCATGGGGCTATGGGGCGTGTCAACAAGTGAATCCTTTAACAGAGACAGCAATAGGACCCAAATGAAATTTGAAATTGTTGGCCCCGCCATGTTTACACTCACACAATCCCATCCGACAACAGGGGGGAGGATGGCATCCAATGGGAATATTGTGACGTCGTGTTTACACGGACAACAACCAAAGCTACTGCAGGAACAAGAGTGGGAGGGGGATTTCACAGGCGTAGGGAGGGTGTGGAACTGGTAGAAAATTTGTATACAGCAATTTTGTGTTAATTAATTTGCCTGTCAACCCGGTTTGCCTTCGGGGCCTTTTTTGCCGATTTTGTCAGGCAATATTTGTTCGTTTAATCTGAACAACATTTCGACAGCCCCAAAAAAAAGGAGACTTTTCACATTTGGCTAGAAATAATAAATTGGACTCTTTGGGCAGACATATTTGAGGGCTATATCTAGCTATAGTACAAAAATTCGACCAATCAATTTTCCAATGGGAGCATAATGCAAATTGGATAACCATAAAGCACCAAAAAAGGTGCCTAAATTTGAGTCTAAATTTGTCTAAAATATGTGATTGGTAAATCAATAACTTAATGCCTCAAACCTCCAGATAAAATCGCTTAAACTAAAGAAAAACGTTGCACCTAAAAACAAATAAAATTTAACTATGCATTACATTAAAAAAAAATGACATAAACCAACCTCAATTTAAATCCACAATTTGGTGCTCTCCGGACTTATCGATTTCCTTGAGGGATTTTTTTGTTGGGAGACGACAGACACCTTTCAAAAATGTTTGCGAAAATGAATTCCGTACAACCATTAAAGGGGGAGGGGCTGTGGCTGGGGCCGGGCTACCCCAAACGAGAGACAAGCCTCAAGTGTCGCTCGAATCAAATGGCATTTTGCCAGCCATCTGGAGGACCTCACATCGCACATCCGCACATTGCGCATTCCCCCAGAGTCCTGACAGTCACGGCAGTTATTGTTCGCCTTAATATGTAACTGGCCATTTGTGTGCAATAATGCCGTGTACACAAGGCACAATAAAATATGCTGCACAAGTGTAAATGAAATGCTAAAGGTGAGCCAGGAAGCGAGCGCATGGGGGCAGGCGGCAGGCGTCAGGCAGCAGCAGCCCTGAAACGAAATTTGCATATTAAAAATTTAGCACATGCACTTACATACCCCTGGGTCTGGGCCCCATAAATGCGTGTAGTCAATGCTAATGTGGCCATTACCATCGTGTGAAATTCATGATCTGATGCAAATCCACATGCCGCACATCCACATCCGGCCAATAAAATTTGCAACTTTTTGGTGACAAGAAGGAGAGCATCAGCATCAGGGGGCCAGAGCCAGGGCCAGACCAGTCTGTCAGTCTGCCAGTCTGTCAGTCCTTCAGGGCTGGTAGGCGGAAACTGGAGCTTAAGCGAAACAGCAGCCAGTGCCATTGGCATTGGCGCCACCCCACCCGGTCGGTAAAGGTGTCATAAAAATCCTATTATGCACATTACAATATCAAAAGAACAGCGCCCAATGCCCCCGGAATCCCAAGAGGAAATGCGTAACATGCGGAGCCATCAGGCCGCAATGGGGGAGGGGGGGTAACCAGGCATACACTGCAGGAAAATATTACTGGAAGACCACGGGGGAAGATGTCCTTTAAAAAATAAATTGTATTTTATTAACAATACCAATAAGGTTCCAGCATACATACCAATCGCCTGTGAGCACAGCGCTTTGTTGCCATCATTTGATGTATCCTTAAAAATATATAATAATAGTAATTATAAAAAACTTTAATGCTTCTTCAAACCCCTCACCTTTGGACTGTACAATTTCCACTTGTTCCAAATTGTGCTATAGTTTTTATTTTTATTTTTTTATTCTCAGTGCCTGCTCTCGCGCTGCTCCATCTGCACATCACAGAGAGTCCATCCTCCTGCTTCGCGCTCAGCGCCTTCTGACAGATATGCCCTAATAAAATGAAGCAACCAGAAGATTTTTAATAAATTTGCAAGCAAATCAACCACTGCCAAAAAAAAAAAATATATAAGAAGGTGTCTTGCCTGCCTGCCTGCTGCGGTGCTGGTGCTTGGTTGGCCTGAAGCGAATGCAGAGCAGGACCAGAACCAGAAGCCAGAACCCAAAAACATCAGCAACAACACCCAGAGCGACATAAATTATGACAAAATATGAACCATTGAGGGATGTACGGGGTCACGACCACCGGGGGCTTCCCCGTCCGTATTCTTCTGTATTGTGACTTGGATGGAATTGGGGTGCGTATTTTATGCCCAGTTTCTGTTGCTGTTCGGCTCTGGGTGCCAGAAAATGTGGCAAAAACATAAAAGCGAGAGCAGCAGGAAGCGCATAATAAGCAAATTATAGAACGTTTAGAAGGGACACAGCGGCCAGGCCAGGCCAGGCCAGGACTGGCTGGGTGTGCCTGGTACCCAAGCAACATAGGAAACTGCTCACTGCCACTGCCACTGCTTCTGTTTCTGTTTCTGGCCAATGCAAATTTACATTTATTTAAGCCAACAGCAGCATCAGACAGAGAGCCCAGTGCCCACAGTGCCCAACAGAGTTCGGGGAGTTCGGGGAGTTGTTCCGCTGCTGCTCCGGCATTCAATAAATTGTTTCTATTAGGGCAATGAAGCGGTAAAAATGAAATTTTATAACCCAACCCAATTTACAAATGACTTGTCCTCTCCCCTTAGAATAGCCCAAATTGTTTTGCCAATTGAATCAAAGTCCCATAGAGAGCTTGGCAGATAACATCAAAGATGTTCGTTTGATTAGCTCCTGAAGCTGGAAAGAGGAGTTTTTGAGGTTTGAGGTTTGAGTGGGGGGGGGTTTACCGCTGCTCCAGAGGGTCCATGAATAAGTGATACCAAAATGGTGCAAAGTTTCGACTTAAATAAAAGCTAATTAAAGGAGTTGTGGTCGCTGGATTATTTAAACTAAGAGCAGGGGAATTTTTGGTGAATTTTAATCGAGTTAATTCTATGAATTCAATTCACACCTTAAAACGTTTTTTTGTTTTATTTTTGGGGAGTGGAATTACTTGTCAGCTGTGAAGGTTTAAGGCAAACGGAAAGGCATTCCAGTGGCCACAAAAATTCACAGAAGAATTATGGGTTAAGTGCAGCTGATACCAACAACAACAACAAAAACAACAAAAAACCCCCGCATTAACCCTTAAGGTAACAGATTATCCCCTTAGTATGCTTGCGCCATTCTAGCAACTTCTGGCAATTTAATTTATGTATTTAAAATTTGTATTCCCTTAGAATAAAAATAAATTCATAAAGTAAAATCGATCAGGCCCGCAACACTATAATAAATTGAAAAGAATTCTCTTAAAAATGGCATTAAATTTTGTGTACATTCTACTCTCTGCCTTTCCGGGTTGTCCAATTGCGAGATGCCGTACGTTTTTTCCCCAGCCCCCACCCAAGCCGAGTAATATGGAATATTCGCGTGTGGACCCGCATACTAAACACTCTCTTGTTTTGGTCTTGGCCCCGCCTGTGATTCCAATGCAAGATTTATACTTCAAACGGCAAGTGGCATTCGATGCCCTGACCGAAGACCCTCAACGATGCCCGGAACGGGCTGCTGCTGTTTGCTATTTATGTGACCGGAGTGTGTGTGGGGCAGAGTCCTGGTGGCTAAGTGACCAACACCAGCTTCCCAGGGGTGTCGTAACTTTCGAGATATGAATGTAAAAACAATTTTTCGGTTCGAAACTGTCGAATATGCGTTACTTTATAATTTGTTACTCTCTCGATACTTGCCTTGACCAAATGTCAGGCTCTGCTCTGGTCCGTTCTTAAAGGAATAAAACGTATCACATATATATATATTTGTACATACTCGGATATGTACGAAAATATGCAATAAAAATGTATACATAAAAACGAAGAATACATAGAAACTCAGAATACATTAGTAGATATCTATTTCGACTGTTGGAAATACTATTTTCAGATATATGTATGGACATAAAAAAACATACCCATATTTAAATTAAATATTCGAGTTTTTTAAATGCAAACAAAGTGAAATTAAATAGAATTCATCTCGATTTAAATATAAATGTATTCAAAGAGTATTTTTCATATGGCCCATAATTAAACTAAACATAAAACTCTTTCCAGCAAATACAATATATTTAATTTCTAAGAAATTTATTTAACTGAAATATATTTATTTAATATATGTATATTTATTTAATATATGAAATATATTTATTTTATATGTGAAATATATTTATTTTATATATGAGAAATATTAGGACCCAATATTTTCAAATAAATAAATAAAAAAAACTACTTTCTTTTGTTGTGAAAATATATTGTTAAAACTTTGTAAGTAGAAGTAAAACTATTCGATTTTAAGCGCATTTTTCTCCGCGTGCATAGCATATATTGCAGATGTAACTGTGAACGTATTTTAGTTACACAAAAAGCTTTGAATATCCAAGATAATTATGTGCATACATATTTCCCGACATACAGCTCCAGTTTCATTTGGGTTAACTACTTGGCTTAAATGTACAATAACTTCCACGAATTAAACTTAGGTAGAAAAAATATGGAAATATTATTTTTATTAAATTATTATTATAACGAAATATTTTAACTACAATTTCCGAAAACAAATATGAAAAATTCGATACATTCGTGCATGAAATAGTCCGTTATTTTATCTGCATGCAAAAACATCAAAGTTGTGTACCTAAGTCTGTAAATATATATATTTTTTGCCACTAAGCTATGTGGGCTCTATCGAGGGGAATGAATCAAATGAAAAGCAATTATAAGCGGCAAGAGGAGGGAGGCTAAAACAAATTCCTCGACAGTCACGTGACCCAAAAATCACAATAAATCCGTTAAAAGTCCACAGAAAATACTTTACCTACGGCCTTGGCAGGCGTAACGAAATTTCAATAAGAAGAAAAAAAACAAAACAAAAAAAAAGCAACTTTCATTTGATGCCGCGGGTCCGGATCTGGATGAAGGAATCTACATGGCGCAACCCCCCATCCCCATTCCAGTTCGTAATCGTCCGTCCGTTCTCCTGCCCAGAAAGGAGCGCGCAGAAGGATGTCGAAGGCGACGGCGCCTGGACTGGCACATTATTAACTTGTCATACAAAGATAAAAATTTATCAGCATACGATGCGTGCGCCGTGTTATTTCGCTGCGTGAGATCAACATAAATGTCGACAGCTTTCCGCCGCTTTACGCCGCCGCCGCCGACAGTGGGGACAACCCTCCTCAGCCAGAACCCAAACAATCTCCCACCAAGCAACACCCACCCAAAAAAAAAACGCTGTGTCCTTCCTGTTCACCCCCATCTTTGCGGGGGAGGAGTGGCGGAACATCCGACCGCCGACCGACCGTCGACAAAGATGAAAAATTACTATAAAACGTTTTGTGGCATTTTAATGTCCACAAAATTCGCTGCTGTTTCCTTTATGAAAAATTCAAAAGAAAAACAAAAGTGAGGAATGACAGCGGCAATGGGCTGCCGTCCACCCACCCACCCTTCCCCCAAAAAATTTGTTTTGTTCTGACGAATATGCCGGGGAAAATTTCCTTGGCCTTTGGCCTATTACGATTGCTGTGGATCCAGTGGGGACTTGGGGGGCTTGGCCTTTCGGCTCAGGCGTTTTTGAAAATTAACCTCTGACCCATTTGTCAGGACTAAACAGAGTTAAGCGCTCTTCCGGTCAGCAAATTGAGTTTTTTTTTTGTTTTTTTTTTTTTTTTGGGGAATGTATCTTAAACCCTTCTGGTATTCCCCCAAGTGAATGAAATCTTTTATACAGAAGGATTATAATCAGATTATAATCCCAGGCAATCCGTATCAGCTAAATGCAGATAAGGCAAGGCAAACGATAGGCATAAGGATATTTTATAGTTGAAGCATTAACTTGAATTATGATATGGCACTTCTTAGTAATAAATGGGACAACGGGACAAAGGTGTCTTGATAGGCATCCTATGGAATTTCCTTATCTTATAAGCGATCCATTCAATCCTTTTTGATACCCCAATTATCATATACCCGTGGAGTACATTTTTTAAAACTAATTAAATACGAGATGTAGTCACAAAAGACACAGAAAATAATTCTTATGTTTTAATCGATTGGGAGGCACTTCCCTTAATACCTATACTCATATGGCTCATATAGCAATCTATGTAGATCAAGTTGTTGTAGAATAAAACTTCAGTCAGTTGCAGGTTCAGCTGCTGCTTAATTATTCCGAAAAAAAACTAAAGACTTAAGGGTTCTGCCATTAAACCAACTCTTGATAGAAAGGCTGATGAAATAAAACGAAAAATATGATGAGTAAATTTCTAATAAACGTTTTCTTTATGTACTACATAAGGAAGAATTTCGAAGTTCTGCGCTAGATAAATGCTCGAAGATTTAGAAGTGTTTCCACGCCTATTGGGACGCTATGTGACGCAGAAAAAAGACTTACTTTTCGGTGCGTGAAATCCAACAACAAACTAAATCCCAGGTAAGCAAAAACAATATACATTGCGTGTGCCTGACACAGCAAATGGTTCCCAATGCAATATATTCTGATACTTTATAGTCTTTGCTCTAGCCCTCTAACCCTGTATTATGCAGTCGTAACTTTATTTTGGAATTTAATTGCAGCTGGTTATCCGCACTCTTGGGCTGCTGAAACACCTCTGACTATAATTGAATATTAGCAAAAACTTCATAAGCTTTGATTTAGAGTTGCATAGCTCTCTGGTGTACATTAAATCGCGCCAGGCCACTTCATCTAGGCCCTTGGTTTTTATTGCATTGCAATTAAACGTGGCCCGGCCGTATGTCAATGTGCAAAATATCGACGCTGAAATGCGCAAAAGGTCGCTGGTCGCTGGTCGCAGGTTCATTTGTATGGACAGCAGCAGATGCTGCTTTCTGCTTGCTGGCTGAAGCCCATAGGCAATGAAGTCCAAATCAGGCATTATTCATTAGTCGCAGCCAAGGGGGTGGGGTGGGGTGGGGCTAGTTGGCTGCCCCAATAATTCTGTATTGGGGGGGGGGTAACACATTTAAAGAGCACTACGCCAGCTACATTTTGATCGAACTCTCATTCGATGCGCTGTCCATTTGGCTGCTCTTTCTGCTTAATTGACACACACACAAAGTTGGACTTGGACTCTTAGTTTTATCTGTGGGAAAACTAATTTCCTAGGCGTACTGTCTTGAGTGTGTGTGTGCTGGGCTGATGGGCTGATGGGCGTGAGTGGGTGCGGTGCGGTGCGTGTGTATTTTCCCCTGTTAAAAGTGTGTGTGTGTGTGTGTGTGTGTGGGGTCGGGCTGATAAGCATTTCATGTCACATCCTTAAGGGCTTCCACTTTCGCTCGCGCACAGACATCAGAGTTCACATGGCAGGCATTCGGTTTGCCGGTTCCTTGCCACCATCCTTTGCCAGAGCCCCAGCCAGAGCCCCAGCCAGAGCGTTGTTACTGTCACCGTCAGCAGCGCTTAAGATTGCTTTCAACGTTCTTAATTGCTTTTTTTTTTTGTGCTACAGCTCCTGGCTCCTGGCTCCTGGCTCTGGCCCTGTGTGCCAGTGTGTGTGTGTGTGTGTGTGTGTTGCCATTCTTTTGATGTGGGCCATGTGCGGAGGCGAGCTTTTGTCATGGACATGGACGTGTTTCATGGTGCGTCGCATTCGTCGTCGCTCGCATTTTTCGCAGGAAGCGTTATTTCAATTTCCGCCTTTCCGCTTGTCCTCTTTTGCCGCTTGCCCTCTTGCCCATTTTCCTTTCCTTTATTTTTTTTTTTTGGGCAAACATTCACATCCACATCCACATCCCAGACACGCCATTATTGTTTGACGTGTCAGTGTTAATGAGTCATTGTCCATTAAGTTTGCTCATTTCAAACGGGCAATTAAATTCGACTTTATTGCACTTCAACCCAAATCGAAATCGAAATCGAACCCCGTACAACCGACTCGAATCTGTCTAACGATGATGATGTCCGTTCCCTACTGCACATGGCACACATGGAATGGCCATAGGGAATGCCCTCCCTGGCACTGGCACACGGCTAGGGAGGGGAGGAAAAAAAAACAAAAACGCTGCACAATAAATCAGTAGGTCCTGAATAATTGCCAGTTCTTCATTATGCAGCCACTTGTCATGCAATGTCACATGTCAAACAACCAAACCAACAACAGACAGACATATGCATAATACAGTGATCGCTCAATAAAAAAGCAAACACACACCGAACTCTATGAGATTTATATAATTAAAAATTATGTAATTAATTATTTAATTTAATAATTCAAGCGACATTTCAGGAGATAAACATAAAGAATGCCAGAGGGTGCTGCAATTTTGAGCCAGGACTTTAAAAGATAATGCAAACTTGCTATATAATCGTAGGCTAATAGTGAAGAACGAACAAAATAATATTAAAAATTATCTTATTGTTTTCAGGGATATTCTCCAGGCAGTTGTGCGCCCATTTAGTTGCAAAGTTGAAAAAGATTAAGTGGCCAAAGGTTGGAATAGCTTTACAAAAAATTGTTAAAAAATACAAATCGCATAATTTAATTTTTTTATATTTTTAACTATACAAAAAACGGCTTATTATTTTCTAAAATTTTATATTTAAATAGATTCCATGCAGAAAGAAAGACTTTCAATCCCCCAGCTAAAGCTTTAAAAATTCCACTCCATCGAGTGTGTACTGTACGGGTATGCTGCGACTGCTACTGCCACTGTGGGTGTGGGGTGTAGGGGGTGGTGTGGTGTGGGTGCGGGTGCGGGTTATGTGTGTACTTTTGGCACATAAATCAGTTGGCTGCATAGCAGCATAGAGGAATATGAGGCATGGCCAACATAAATAATTAACAAACTTGACTCAAATGATAAATTTTTCGCCAGCACAAAGACTGAGAGACAGAGAGAGAGAGAGAGCGAGAGAGACAAAAGAGATAAGTTCGTTTAATATTTATGACAAAACAGAGATACATGAGATACACCCAAACATACTCTGCTGCTTTGCTGCTCTGTTGCCGTTGCCGTTGTAGATTGTTTATTCGGAATGCCCTTGGCACTTGACACTTGAGCATCGTCGTCCTCCTCCATGTCCATGTCCATGTCCATGTCCTGGCTTGTCCGTTCCCTTACTGACTGCTTCTTCTTTCCCTAATCAAGGCCCGAGGGGTGCGATCTGCCCTATTGTCAGTGATTTACGAGCTCCCCAATCATTCGGGACACAGGCCAAACAACGAGATACACATCACACATCCACCCGCTGCCAGGCAGCCAGGCAGCCCGGCAGCCCGGCCCAGTCTCTCTCTGTTACCATCATAATTCGTCATTGCATTTGATTTTATTTCAGCGTTATTTATTTGAATTATTTATTTATCCTATTATTCGGACGTACCACCCAGTCCCAAGCAACTTCTGGGGTTGGAACAATGCGGCATAGTGCGGCACTATGTGGTGTGGCAGCCACCACGCCCCACACATTTGACATTATGGTGCCTCACATGAATATTCTGTAATAATATTGGCCAACATATGTCCATTTGCGTGTCCACGGCCGGTTCTGGCCAGTGCCAATCAATAATGCGGTCTGGATAAAGATTTATAGGTTTTGCATTTGCTCAACACACGCGCCAGCCCATCCCACAGCCACCAAAATACCACACCCACAACCAATTCCCCATCCAGCCAGCCAGCCCACACGCAAGCCTCCGAGTATAGCATAGAAGAAAGTCGAATATGGCCAACACCAAATGGGACTCTTCGGTGGGACTTGTGGGACTGCGCCTGCCCCTGCCGGACTGCGCTGCTGTAATTACAAATACAAGAATATTTCTGAAACAAAAGAATCCAGAGAGATGAGAACCTTCGAAAGATTTTCGCCTGATTGCAGGGCATTGTACAATGATGAATGCATTGACAAAAAATTGATAATACTTAGTTGCAGTCTTCGGGGAATGCACAAGTTTAATTTATGAGCACACATAAATTCAACGAACTCTCTAAGCGGGCAGCCCCGCCTGGTCACGAGTGCCTTTGGAAGTTATACAAAATTAAATTGATTAAAAACAAAGCAAGCCAACATTTTAATGTTCCTTCTCACAGATCGAAAATTCAAAAGTGACAAATTTTTAACATTACAATTATGAGCCGAAAGAACGAAACGCAAACCCATTCAGTAAGTGTATAAATCGAACAGTTTTGCATGTCCATTTATCTATCCATGGAGCATCCAACAGATGGGCAACGACTGCAACCAGGAACAATCGAACTATGAGGAATTCGGCAACAGCAGCCTGGCTATTGACGCACTTGCTGTGTTGAATGGTCTGCAAAATGCCAAAAACGAATTGCAGCTGCTTCAAATCGAAAATTTAGAAGAGAGATTCAAAACGTTCCGTCAGATCCATGAGCGTCATGTGGCCCGCGTAGCCGCGCTAAAGGCCCAATTGGATGCTGATTGGGCACTTTTTTGTGTCGATGTAAAGGCATATAACGACGGTTACGAAATATAATTATATAATATATTTCCAATTCATAATAATTAGTATTCTATTTTCATTAAATTGTTCGTGAAATCTAATTTCATTTCGGGCATTTTACTCTAGAAACTTTTGGAAAAACTTTCGTGCCTGCATGTGTGCCTATAGTTAAGCGGGTTTAAATTTAAGCTTAAAAAAACAATTAAAGCAATTATTAATTAATTAATTAATTAAAATAAATAAAATACAATTTCATGCTAAAACAAATTAGTAAAAGCTGAGTAGGAAGCTTTCTCTAAACACTAAACATTATAATTATAATAAATTATAAAAACCAGAAAAAAATCAGATTTCAACATTGCCACACAGATATGGAGCCGCCCATCCACTAGAGCAATCCTAATAATCATCTGCATGAATATCTTCCTACCATGTCCAGTGTTCAGGTGCAAAACAATCCCTCTACCCACTGCCATCAATTTAATAGCCCAGAATTAGATGCTGCTGCGTTGACACCCTCATAGAGCGGGGCCCTGGAATTTGTTTAGGCTGCTGCTTTGCTTCTTGCATTCCATTGTTTCCACGCCTAATTACTGCACGTGCAGGCGGCGCGGGCAGGACTCGCTACGAGTCTCAGACAAATAAATTTGCGGTGATTTGTTGACGTGTGTGTGTGTGGATGGGACAGAAGGCATTAATGTTATGGCTAGTCCTCTTCAGACATTCCACATTGCCCTGTAAGTACGTACGTATAACTAGAGCGCATTTAACTACTCAGCGATTACACGGGAAAAGCACACACACACAACACACTTACACTCGCCGAGAGAAAGCAGAAAAGGAATCGCTGTGTCCGTACTTTATGTCCCCATCAATGGTACGCCTACAGTCCATTGTGCCGTGCCGTCTCGTCTCGTCGCGGATAAGGTGTGGTTGTGTGTGGCTGTGTGTGTGTGTGGCTGCCAGGATGCGGAAGCGGCAACGATGTGGAAAAGGCTAGTGACTGTTGGCCATAAAGAAAAACTTCATTTATTCGCAAAGAAATAAATCTTTTAATGCACATCGGAGAGTCGTTATTCGGGCATTGTTTTCTCATTTGCCACAACACCTCCGAACACACCCACCCACCCGTACAGGAACGGACCGAAACGGAGCACTCACTCACCCACGCTCACCACTGAATCATGGGGGCAAGGCAAGGCACACACATACATACGTGCATACATATGTCGTGCCAGGCAGCCATCCCACAAAAGCAGACCCAAAGCTACCATTGGGACAGTTCTCTGGCTGGGTCTGGGTCTGGGCAAATGAACGTTGAATGGCTATTTCAATGATTCTAATTATGGGAGTCCGCCCGGCGCAAAAGTTTGTTAAGTATCGCGTGCATCATTGTTATTGTTTTTGCTTACCCCGGAGATCCGGTACAGCAGCCCAAAATTGACCAGTGTGTGTGTGTGTGGGGAGGACCATTTCATTGCGTGGGCGGTACGCGCTCATTAGGTTTCCTACTCCTGCTGCTCCTTCAGTGCCGGACCATCGCTTCGCATCCTCTTCATGCAAAATGTCCCACAAGGCCGGCCGGCCTTCAGGCAATTGTCGCGCTCCCTTGGACAAAAATGTGTTTATGTTCGTGTGCGTGTGGCGTGCTATGTGTGATTGTGTGCGTGGCGGTGACCTGTGAAAATGTCTGTGTCAAGTTGTGAGTAATAACAGGGAAATGCCAAAAAGAAAAAGCACATACGAAATACAGCTCGTAAAATAGCTGAGGCGGGCCCCAACACTGGGGAGCACTTTCTTATATCCATTCACTTGATAGCAACGCACCGATACGACAATACTCTAAAAATAAACTTATCTGTGCGAAATTTTATTTTGGTTTTGGGCGTGCAGAGAAAGCACATGTGTGAGTGCATATATTTATGCCCAGCAGGTGGTGTGGCAACACTTAAGGGTACTGCCAACTGATCAGCATAGATCTAATAATATATACATAGTATTGTTAACAATATACATAGTAATATTAACAAGTAATAATTACTATTAATGCTGCTTTAAGCCAAATAGTACTTGGCTTTTATTCAATTTATTTCCGCACAATTCAAATGCCAATCGATATGCAGATATTCGCACTTAGTGGTGGGTGGGTGACGGTTATCAGTGATCGGCCATTCCTAAAAATGGCCGACTTGCTGATTGTTTCGAATTTTTGGTAAAAATTTCACGCATAGATATGACGAAACGATGACTAAAGTGTCACATGCTCCAAACGGACATTGGCAATTACATCGCTCGCTCCCGCGCTGCTCTGACAAATGTAACCCCAAACAAAAGCACATTAATTAGCCGTACGTGTCCATGCATTACTGAAGTATTTGTTGTCGTTGGTGGGGCACCATAATAGCTCTTCTGCTGCCGCTGCTGCTGCTGTGTCAAAACGAATGCCAGAACAAAACCCAAACATACATAAAGCTTCAGGATGAATGGCCTCATGGAGCATACCGGAATATATTTGGCGAATGTGTTTGGCACATCTACTGTACGTACGTATAATTACGAATGCTTCTTGTTGTTTGTTGCATAGGCCAGCGAGAAAGTTAAATTGCAGAAATCGCAAAACTTTAATATACCCCAAGTCCAAAGTCCAAGCCCAAGCAAAAGTCAAAGTAATGGAATTGTGTAATTAACGAGACTCTGGGAAAAAGACCCGATGAAACGTTCCAGCTGCTGCTGCTGCTGCCGCTGCTGCGGACTTTTGCTATAACTTGAAGATGTGTCCCCACACAGCCACATCCTTAGGACGCTGGATGGAGTGGCGTAGAGCTCAATAGGTGAGTGGCACACAATTCCATTTAAATGTTTACTGCAAATGAATAGCAATTCAAAGCATGACCCTCTCCCAGCCATGCCCTGCCCCGGGGTCATAGATCATTTGTTGTTTGACTTTCCATTAACATTAAACAAATTTACAGAAGAAATGCAACGAAGCAGCAGGTAGCTAGAGGCTGGCGACCTAACACTGATTCAGAATATCAAATAGCATAAGAGCAGAATCTACTCTGCAATTTTAAATGTGTGCACTTGTGCCAGTTGAAGAATTACACATTTATCAAGGACAATTGTTGCTATTTTGACCATGCCAAATACTTGAAATTGTAACTATGTTTATGTCAAGCTTGAAATTTATTAATTGTTGTATAAAATCATATATAAAAGTGACCTTTTATATGCATTTTAGCTTGGACATGAAGCGATCATCATACATGTATAAATCACATTCAGTCTGATAGAATAAAACAGTAGCATCTCAACAAATTAAAATTTAATGGAAAATTAATGGCCAAAAGCCACAGGAGCTACGTCTGCCTCCCTCACCTGTTGCAGCTTTACCTTTATAACTTTAAGCTCACACATTAAAAAGGTAATTAATATCTGAAGAAATATTCCTCTAGTCTGATGATTAGATGAGAGTAGACGTGTAAATCAGTGACCCTCCTGTATCCTGCAGAAAACAATAATATTTTTACGGATAAAGATTTTTCTTCAGAATATTTAAACAATATCTGAAAATGTCTAAAAGCATACGAAACTTATTGGTTTAAAAATTTATTATATTATAAACTGTGCAAATTTCAACCAATAATATTCTGGATATTTTTTCTATATTTTCCGAATTCGAACAAACACCAAATGCCGCACCAATGAAAAAAAAAAGCTTAAGCAAACTTCATCCATTAATTATATTTTCAAAAAAAAGACCAAAAAAAAAATGTCCTAATGTTAAATATATGAAATGAAGGAATAATATGTTAGAAATATAGTAGGGGGAGGGTGTGCGGATCCGTATGATGTTAACTTAACTCTATTGCCGCCGATTCGAGTGCTTTTTGAAGTAACAGCAGAAATATAATTTTAAATTGCGATTTCGCTTCTATAATGTCATTTTATAGCTGGTCGAATTATTTGCTATGGGTCGCTGGTTGCTTTTAATTTTCTTTTTATTCAATTTGTACGGTGCGGCCGACATGGCCGAGTTGCGCTCCTCCGCTCGCGTATTATCGTACGGGGTGCGCACGATTTCGGGCAGATGGGCGTAGTACACCACACGCTGATTGCGCGGTGGCAGCGTCAGGTCGGATAGCTTTGGGCTGGGGCCATACTTGGAGTTGTAGGAGTCGGACAGCGGCACGGGATCGTCCATGTAGCCACGACGTGACTTGATGTAGTCCCTGGCACTGGGCGTGTCCAGATAGCGGTCGGGATACATGACATACGGCTCCGGATAGTGTGGCACACGGGGACTGTAGCTGTCGTACGGATCGAAGCGCTGCCGATGCATGTACATGTCCTCAAAGTACTGCGGATAGGCGCGATGGTACTGCTCATCGAACCTGGCCGAATGAAGCGTTTTATGTGTGGCGACTTCTACTCCTTTTTTGTTTTGTTTCGCAGCCACTCACCTGTCGTAGCGCCGTATATAGGGATCGTAGGATCTGGAGGGATACATGGGCACGTTGGAGACGCTGGCCTTGCCGGCGGAATACTCGCCATACCAAGGCAGTGGCTTGTGTGGCACGGCCACGGCACTGACTGGTCGCTGATTGGTCTCCTCATGCAATCGCTTCATGGATGCACTGAGATCGTTGTCACTGCCATAATGATCATTGACCCCGGGCCTGGGCCGTTGATAGTACTCATAGTCTGTGTATCCCGCCGAATGCTGCAGAACCTTCAGCTGCTTGGGCTGTCCCGGATCCAAGGACCTTGCTGCATCCACCATGCTATCCTCGGCCTCCAGATCCAGGTCCAGATCCGTGCTCCTATTGGGCACCTCGAAGCTGTCCGCACCCACAGATAACTGGATGCAGCAGCATAGTAAAATAAACTTCGCCAGTGGCATTTTTGTGAAGTGGCGAAACAAAAAACTCAACCGTTGCCGTCGGCTGGCCAAGATGAACTACCAACTGCCAACGGTCCGGGGCCTTAATCGCTCCAAAACGCTATCGATAGGTAGGGCATTAGAGCCACACAATGATGCGGCGACATGGTAAACTGAACTTCAAAGACCGCTTTGTTTGGCCCTCTGGCCCAGCTCTTTGTTGGCCATTCCATTCCATTCGAGTCACTCAACCGCAAGAATGCGAATGCACTCCGCTCCGCTGCCAAAAACTTCACGCCAATCCCCCAAACTACCCATATAGTGGGTCCATCTGGGCGTGCCCTATGCCACCCATAATCATCTCTGCATTTGGTTGACATTTTAACGACGCATCCAAATCACCTGCAGCCCCAGCTGCCGCAGCAGCAGCCACGATTTAGCGCGAACTTATCCACGACACGCTCGGTTGACGCCGCTGCCCGTTGTCAACGTTTTCCATTGCATTGGGAAAGTTTTTGTCAGCATGCAAAAGCAAAGTTCTATGTACCCTACGCGCGACTAGCTTTAATTCTGCATAAATTAGTCCAATGCTGGCATTTATTTCGCCCACTTGCAGCACTCTCTAAAATGTTTTTGATGGCTTAGAAAATTATATGCAACCAAAGACCATAAAGCATCAATTTCCTGTGTCCTGTCCAAGCAATATGTATATTGTTTTCGCTTTCTCCGCACCGACTGCATATATTTGTATATTTTTATTGAATATTCTTCGTATCGAAAGGTAAGTCTTTTCGGCACCTAGCCAAAGGCTGTGCAGCTTATTCTTTGATGCTATTGACCGTTTAGTGGTCTCCTACAATGCGAGTATCTGCTCTGAAGTGCCCTGAAGCTCTGCAGATTAGAAAATAAATAAATACACAGATTTTTCAGCACTTTTTTGTTTGCACACTTTTGAAATTTATAAGGCTTAGTTGGTATGTGTAATTAATAATTATATAAATTAGTTTGCAATAACGAATTAATAGTGTAAATCATTTAATGACTAAGGGTTTTGTTGTTGTTGTTGTTGTTAATGCTGGACAAACAGGGCTCCCGGCACAGCTCTAGCTACCGAGCAGCTGCTGCCCGCCCCTGAATCGATTGTTTGTTTGTTTCTATTTTTTTTTTATATATTTTGGCAGCTTAGAGCGACAAATGAGGCCACTCCTCCCACAAGAAAAAAAAAATAGAAAAAAAAAATAAATAAAGGAACTGTCTGTTCCTGCACAGTGGGTTGGATATAATCGTTCAAGAGCCTGGATCTAATCTGAACCCCGTGGACAATTTACAGGCTACAGATATACATATGCTTGTGAACGAGTTTTAAAAAATAATTATATTCTGCAATTGTGACAGCGTGCCCCCAAAGTGAATACTTTCGGGCAGATTCTTGATCTGCAACAGCCAACGCTGGCATTCGGCGCATTTCCGCTGACGATCCTCCCGCGTCACATCCACGCCCAAGCCATTGGCCGCCCAGGGGTCGAGGTTCTCCTGTATGGTTGGCAAGAAGTTTGACAAAATGATACGCAACGTATCACAGGCTCTGGTAAAGTGGCTGTCAAAGAGTAAAGTTAATAATTTCCAATGAAATATTCGATGCCGTTGGCTGGGGGTGGCACTTACAACTTGTGCTGACTTTGCAACAGTTCAAATATCTCTGGCAAAACGAATATGCAGAAATCCAAGTTCCACGAGGACCTACACAAAGCAATTTAAAGTTAGAAAGAAAAATCATTTACACATTTAAATTAATCTCTTATGCAGCTCACGGTTTCTCTAGTATGGCGCCCAGCAGATCTATAAAGATGGAGCGTCCGGTATTCCTAGCTTGCTTCAGGGCGCCCAGCACATCGTGCGATCTATTGGGCAGGGATTATTACATGGCATCAGCATTGAAATATTCACTTTGATTATTGTACTCGGCTCTGCTCACCTTGTGGAGTGTCTTAGCAGATCCAGGCTGGTCTGGCGATTGCTCAATTCCTGCAGCACAGCCTCGTGTGATCTGGATAGGAAATCAAAGTCCTGATGATCATCCGCTATGATGCGATGATTGTTGAGTGGCTGCTGCAAGATGGAAGGAAATCAATGGCAAAATGTTAACAGCCCGCTTTGCTTTTGTTGTTGTTGGGTATATTTACTCACGTGTGTATGCTTTTCCTGAGTTTTATTTTGATGCGATATGCGCATATCTAGTGTGGTGCGTGACCTCATTGGCGGCTTTGTGATTATCTCCACATTAATGTTCTTCTGTTGGCTATTCTCCTTGTAGAACTGGCTGTGTGCGGTCGCCCGCCCATTGGCCGTTTGTTCTTGTTAACCACATTCGAGGAGGATGATTTCTTGAGTATCATATTATCGTCCAGCTTGTGCAGCTCCATCGAACTAACCGACGACACTTGGCTCAGCTTATTGCTGCCGAAAATCGCCGTCGATGTCTGTTTGGTGTTGCTGATGCCCGTGCCGCGCTTGTGCAGATTTGTTGTCGTTTTCTTGATCGACTTGGACGAGGCATTTATTGTGGACGAGAACGGCGGCACTGCCTTATAGCTATTGACCAAAAAGTTTAAATTCTGATTGACTGGAAAATCCTCGGCCATCTCGTAGTTATCATAATTGGACAGTATTGGCGCATTGCTCTCATTCAGATTGTACTCCAAATGCTGCACATCCGCTTCGGCATCGTCATCCTCCTCCTTCTCTGGCGGATAAATATTGTTATAGTTCTCCACCGCATGCAGCGAGCTGGGGCCATTCAGCTGCAAGTGGCGGCTGGAACTGGAACCGACACCCACATCCATGCCGCTGCTGTAGCTGCTGTAGTTTGTGTCTATGTTGTAGATCATGTTGTCGGGCAGGCGCGAGAATTTCGTGTGCCGCAGCTGTGTAGTATCAATGCCAACGCTATACGGATGCACAGGCTCGCCAGGAGCCGATATACCGACCTGCTGCAGCGACGTCATGGGCGATGTTTCTGTCGATTCCAGTACGGCCTCATTCAAAACCTCCAGACTCAGATTGGGCGATGATAGATCATCAAAATTGGGACCTTTATTGTCATGCTCCTGCTCCTCCTTGACCTGGGCGGGCTTGGAGCCGCCCAGAGATAAGCGAAACTTTTGATTGCCGCGCGTGAAACTCTTTCGGCTCGTTGAATTGTGCTTGAAGTTGGGCAGGGTATTCGGCGGCTGGTAGAACGGTATCACACGGTCCAGGCTTATGGTATTAATGGACACAGCATCGATTTCATGACAGCCACAGATCTGTAACCCGAGAGTAATTGAGAGTTCAGTGGTAGGGTAGATGCTGCACAGGCTGCTGATGCTGCTGCTGGGACACTTACCAGCTTATTGTTGACCACTTTCATGTCGCCCAGCGAGGACCAGGTGCCCTTTATGTGATCCAGCTCACGATCGGGCTCCCAGCCAATCACAGAGATGCCCGAAACACTGCCCACAAAGAGGCATTCACCATTGTCACTGAACGTTATGCATCGGATGGCCTGGCCATAGAAATGTGTGGTCTGCGAGACAAGCTGCTGATGCTCCAGATCATAAATGGACACAGTGCCGTCGATGCGTCCAGCGGCGAGCAGAAACTCAAACGGATGGAACTGTATGCATGTGATGGCCGTGACTGGCGGCTCGGCTATAAACTCCATAATCTGTTTGCTCTTTCGTATGTCCCAGATGAGTATGGATCCCTCCAGGCCAGCGGAAGCAATCCACAGTCCGTCCGGTGAGAACTTAACAGAGTTCACATGCGACACATGGCCACGGCACACTCGAATGCAATTGTTTTCATTCTGCACGTCCCAGAGTCTGGAATTGGTCAAAAAAAAAAATTCTTAATATTAGAATATAATTATTCCGAATTTGTGCATAATAATTGTATAATCATTTTTGGATTTTATTAGTGCGTTAGAACTTGTGGCTTTGCTTACGTATTTTCGCGGTTCGTTTAAAAAACGATAGATATATCGATAGAATACAGTATTAAAGAATGACGCCACTTTGCTTTTTTATTTTTTTTTTAAGTTGCTGATGCAGGAAAATTATCCTGCTATTTATTATCTTTTATTGTTATCTTTTTGTGGCGACACAAAGTGCATTAAAATTATAAAACAAATATCGCACTGCATTTACAGCCATCGATATATGCACTAATCGATATGTTAAACTATCTGACAGCTGACATATGTTTTGCCCATCGATCTGGATCCATTCAACCCATTCCACTTAAGTTATTTTGCGCTGCTTATCACTTTGTTGCACTTTGTACCTGCGATATAGGAGCTGCTAATCTTTTGCGTTAAGTTAAGGCATCGCATCCGAGCAGCAACTTTAACGTGCGTGCAGTGCAAAAGAACTGTAAGTCGTGTGTAAATGGGCAGCGGCAACTGCGCTAATCCACATACATATATACATATATATATGCAGATGTGTTTGTTTGGTTGTTCGTGTGTGTTTGTGTGGTTGAAGAAACATCATTAAAACAATTTGTTGTCAATTTTACTTTGCACCATTTGGTGCTGTCTCGTTTAATTGAACTCTGAACCGTTGTTGGACTTGGACTGGGACCTAACCAGAGTGTCTTTCGATTCATTGTTGCCCCCGAAACTTTCACATTTTCGTGCTGTATGTGCATACATATAGAAATCTGAAGATATCATTATCAGGACACAGTTTGGCCAGCTATTCCCACACCACACCGCACACCGCACCGCACCATAACTAATATTCCAACGCTGAATACCTTTCTTTTTCATTCAACAGTTGAACGTTGGAGCAGGCGTAACCGGATTTTCAATTAAACCAGAAAACATGTCTTCTGCTGGCAAACTGCGTTACGATGGCCGTGTGGCGGTGGTGACTGGTGCTGGGGCCGGCCTGGGCCGCGAATATGCCCTCCTGTTGGCATCGCGCGGCGCCAAGGTGGTGGTCAACGACCTGGGCGGCACTCATTCCGGTGAGGGTGCCTCACAGCGGGCCGCCGATGTGGTTGTGGAGGAGATACGCCAAAGTGGCGGTGAGGCGGTGGCCGACTACAATTCTGTCATCGATGGGGCAAAGGTCATTGAGACGGCCATCAAGGCGTACGGCCGTGTGGATATACTCGTCAATAATGCCGGCATTCTGCGGGATCGCAGCCTGCTGAAAACCTCCGAACAGGACTGGAATCTGGTTAACGATGTGCACCTAAAGGGCAGCTTCAAGTGCACTCAAGCGGCCTTTGGGCACATGAAGAGCCAGAATTTTGGACGCATCATCATGACCTCCTCGAATTCGGGCATCTTTGGCAACTTTGGACAGGCCAACTATTCGGCAGCCAAAATGGGACTGGTTGGCCTGGCCAACACTGTGGCCATTGAGGGCGCACGCAATAATATCTACTGCAATGTGATTATCCCGACTGCAGCCAGCCGCATGACCGAGGGCATTCTGCCCGATATTATGTTCAATGAGCTGAAGCCGCAGCTGATTGCCCCAGTGGTGGCCTACCTGTGCCACGAATCCTGCGAGGATAATGGTGAGTAGTGGTTCTGCATTTGGCATTCATTTGGCAGAACAAAGTTCGTTCTTTGCTTTTGCTTTTGCTTTGGCTATTGCTTTTTGCCGCAAGATAAAGAATAATCTCTGATAGTGGACGGGCTCTAATCTTTCGAAATCTCTCTGCTACAGGCAGCTACATCGAAAGCGCCGCTGGCTGGGCCTCCAAGGTGCAGACTGTGCGCGGCAAGGGTGCCGTGCTGCGACCCTCTCTGGATGATCCCGTCACCATTGAGTATGTGAAGAATGTGTGGTCCAAGGTGACGGACATGTCACAGGCCAAGCATCTCAATTCGATGGCCGAGGCCTCGGGCTATCTGCTGGAGGTGCTCGAGAAGCTGAAGGACGGCGATCAGGACGCCGTCGAGGACACTTTCACATTCGACAACAAGGAGCTGATCACCTATGCTTTGGGCATTGGTGCTTCGATCAAGAACAGCCAGGATCTGCGCTTTCTGTATGAGAACGATGCCGATTTCTCCGCCATTCCCTCGTTCTTTGTGCTGCCCGGCCTACTGCTGGCCATGTCCACGGACAAGCTGGTGGGCAGTGCCCTGCCCAACAATCAGGCTGACTTCACCAACATTCTACACGGCGAACAGTATCTGGAGATTGCCGATGATCTGCCCACCAGTGGAACGCTGACCACAACCGGCAAGGTATTCGATGTAATGGACAAGGGATCTGGCGCTGTTGTCGTCACCAATTGTGATTCGTTTGACGAGAATGGCCGTTTGGTGGTGAAGAACCAGAGCTGCGTATTTGTGGTGGGTGCTGGAAAATTCGGTGGCAAGAAGAACCCCATTGCCGGTGTGGTGCCACTGCTGCCGAATCCCAGCCGCCAGCCAGACGCCTCGATCCAGTACTCGACCAGCGAGGATCAGGCCGTGCTCTACAGACTGTCCGGTGATCGCAATCCCCTGCACATTGATCCCCAAATGGCACGCTTGGCCGGCTTCAAGACGCCCATTCTGCATGGCCTGTGCACCCTGGGCTATTCGGTGCGTGCCGTTCTCAGCCAGTATGCCGACAACAATCCGACACTCTTCAAGGCCATCAAAGTGCGCTTTTCGGGCCCCGTTCTGCCCGGCCAGTCGCTGAAGGTGGACATGTGGCTGGAGGGCACACGCGTGCACTTCCGCACTGTGGTCGTGGAGACCGGCAAGGAGGTCATTTCGGGCGCCTACGTGGATCTGAAGAGCACCAAGGCCAAGTTGTAAGCAGAGCTGAGCTGCTCCTCGCCTTTGGTTGGATTAGGGAATACCCTTTCCGTATTTGTCTTTTTTTTATATACATAATCGTTATATATATGTACATATGCACCAGTAAACATCCCTCCCTCCCCCTTCCTTTGGTGGTAGAAATAGAAACCATTTTATGACACAATAAACTGACGACTGCTTTTTAAATTATCTCTTCTTTGTAAGCACTTTAAGTTAAGGCAAAACATTGAGTCACGCTACACGTTCGTCATCTGGGGAAAGCAATAGCAATAGCTTCAATAAAAAGTACCAGTTTCTCCAGCCAGACTGTCCATGTAAACTATAGCTCACATAGAGGTATCAGAGAAGGCTGTGAAGAACATTGAACGAACAACAAATGCAAGACAGCTCCCAGAACAGCCTCAGGAGAGACCTGGCCAAGGAACAGGCAGATAATTGATGTCTACGAAAGCATCTTAGAAGGCAAAAGAGCAGTCGCAGAAGGAGACACCAGACAGCAGACCCGCCCAAAGTGCAGCCATATCCATAGTTTCAGCTAACGATATAACTTTCTTTGCATTAATTCCCACAGATTGTTGAGGGAGATCCCCTGCAGACGACTAACTTCATGAATCACATAATTTGCGGTCAAAGAATTTTGGTTTCGGTTTCGTGGAAGCTTATTCAGAGAATTAGAATCTTTGACTGAAGGAGGAGGCTGCCAATAGGAAAAGAATTCAATGTAGAATTAAATCCAAAAGAAAACTAAACAATTTTCTTAATTATCAGAATTTTGGAGCGGAGAGTAAAGCAGCTGCATACGCTTAAAAAAAAAACTGACGCATAACAGAGGGAGACGGACGAGACGCACTAAAAAAAAGTATACCCCTCTCACTCGAAATCACGAACAGATTCACTTGCAGCGAGCAAATGTTTTGCCAAGCACAGAACACATCTGTGGAGAACAGAGTTTGGCAGAGATTGCTAGAGGACTCACCTGACGGTGGTGTCATTGCTGCCGGATACCACATACTCCCCGGAGGGATTAAAGTCCAGAGTCCGCACACTCTTCATGTGGCCATTGAGCGTTGAGTATATCTTCTGGGCATTGAGATCCCAACGCCGTATGATGCCAATATCATCGGCAGAGTAAACAAAATTGTCTTTATATGCAAAGCGTACGCAATCAATGGAACGATTATGACCAGTTAGGGACTGAAAACAAAACAGATTTTAAATGCTATAGAGCCTGGGCATATGAGTAATCCAAGATAAATGGTCTCACCATAAAGCATTCGTTCTGGCCAATGGCCCAGAGATTGACATTGCGATCCTCGCCGCCGGTGACCAGCACACGGCCCGTTTCACCCAGATCGAGGCTGGTGACTTTGCCATCGTGTGCCTTTATGTCATCTGCAAAGGATAATAGAGAGATATATTCGATCATTTACATATGGGAACACACACATTTTTTCGAATGCAATTCGATTGTTTATACAACTGTAGATTTGATATCAGTATTTGTATAACACCTACACACACAAATGCACACACACACAACACAAGCTCATCTGGGTAGCATACACACATGCACATAGAATTAAAACGGTACTTTCGAATATACGATTTTCTTACAGATCTTTGATATCAAATTCCTGGACAGCGCCATTATCAATCAAATTGTTGTTATTCTTATATCCAGGCAATGTTTAGATCCTGCAGAAGTGCCAGTTTTGTAAATAAATCCCCTTTATTCGTAGCAGGTGTGATGAGTCTGTCTGCTGGCAAGCTGGCTGGCTGGCTGGGGGCCTTTGCTTTGGATCAGCTGGTGTGTCTGGGTCACTTTTTTGCTGACTTGACTCTTATTAATTGAACAAAATAAATACAGAACGAACATAAACGTTTTTAACTATTTAAGCTGCACTACACCATTTTACGTGGCGTTCACCGTGATCGCATTATCAAAATGCGATTAGAGGCTGGAACAGAATTTTGAACAGACAATTTTGGACAAAAACAAATGCACATTATAATTACAGCGACGACGAGGGGTGGCAGAAACTATCGATTACAGCTGCAACCAGGGCCGTACCAGCTATGTTCGATTAGTGTACTATCGAAACTACTGAATGAATAATAATTATAATTAATATTTATAATTACATTGAAAATCTTACAGTTTAAAGTGCTTTTGCAGCCTACTTAAATTTAAATTTAAATTACGATAGTCCGGGATTCTAGTTCGGAAAGTGAATCGCGCTGGTTCCAGCTCCGTTCCGTTCTCATGCGATCTGGAACTAGTGAAGACCAGATCTGGTCGTGATTCTCGCCAGGTGGGAGGGGGGTGGGCGCCCAATTAAAACGGCTCGCACGAGCGAACCAGATCCGATACGAACTAAAGCTAGGCTTAGGCTAGTTGGCACTGTCTCTGTGTATATTTTAATGCAGCTCTTTAACTTTCACTTCGATTACAACAAGTGGCGGAGATTTAGCGAGATTTAGGCAACGGATCGGTGGAATATAATGTGAACAGCAGCAGCAGCCACCCATGGACATATATACAAGCAACAGCACAGACAGCACAAATATAAAATGGCATCAAAATATGAGCGCATTATAAGTGATTGTCGAACGAAGAACGTACTCTGGGAAGACGGCGATTTCCCCGCAGTGCAATCGTCCGTCTTCTACTACCAAACGCCCCCATTCACGTTCCAGTGGAAGCGTATTGCCGAGCTGAACAATGCCCAGGCCTCGTTTCTCAATGAAAATGCCGAATTCGATGTGGTGCCTGGCAAGATGGGCGATCGTTGGCTGGTCTCCTGCCTGGGGGTACTCTACTCGTTGCGGAATCTCTTCTATCGCGTGGTGCCCGCCGATCAGAGTCTCAACAAATCGCAGGGCATCTATCGCTTTCGCCTGTGGTGGTGTGGCGAATGGGTCGAGGTTCTGGTCGACGATCGTCTGCCCACCATAAACGGACGGCTGGCCTTTATGCAGCCCCAGTCTTCGAACTGCTTCTGGGCGGCTCTGCTGGAGAAGGCCATTGCCAAGCTGCATGGCTCGTATGAGGCGCTCAAATATGGCACTCGTTCGGATGGACTCACCGATCTGCTTGGCGGCGTGGTCAAGTGTATGCCCATTGTGGCCGATACCATAAGGCCGCAAACGCTCAAGGATCAGCTGGCCTCCACATGCATTGTCACCTGCCTGGCGGTTAAGGCCTCCTCGGTGCAGAAGAAAAACATTGCCGAACGTTTGCCAAATGGCATTTTGGTGAATGTTAACTACAGGTAGGCCACAGCCCATTTATCAGTATATCAGAGTATTCATATTCAGGTCTTATCTGTGTGGGGTTTCCTTTTGCAGACTTTCCAGCCTGGACAAAGTGGAGACCCTCATGGGGGACTCGGTGCAGCTGATTTGCGTAAAGGATACATTTTCGTGCAAGCCATTTGGGGATAAAACCAACTTTCTGGGCGATTGGTCGCCACTGTCTAAGACCTGGGAGCGCGTCTCATCGGGGGAACGGGCACGGCTGCTCAATCAATTGAATCTGGGCGAATTTTGGATGTCGTTCTATGATTTTGTACAAATATTCACCGCCCTGGAGATTGTCTATCTGGACAGTGAGACGGCCAATGATGAGGAGATGCTCAAGAATCGGCCGCTGCATTGGAAAATGAAGATGTACCAGGGCCAGTGGAAGCGTGGCGTCACGGCCGGCGGCTGTCGCAATCATGAGTCATTTCACATCAATCCACAGCTGCTTGTTTCCGTGCAGGAGAAACAGGACGTTGTCATAGCCCTCAATCAGCATACGGCCGTTGAGCCAAAGGTCATTGGCTTCACGATGTACACCTGGAATCGTGAGTACAACCTAAACGAGTGCCTGCAAAAGGACTTCTTTAAGAATCACGTGAGCTTCCTGAACTCGGACTATGGCAATACACGGCATGTCAGCTACCACACACAGCTGGAGGCGGGCCATTATGTGCTCATACCGACGACATACGAGCCGGCGGAGGAGGCACACTTCACCATTCGTATACTGGGCACCTCTGCGCTGCGGCTGTCCTGCCTGGAGACCCAAACGATGATACTGCTGGACCCGTTTCCGGCGCTCAAGAGCGAGGACAGCATACAAAAGATCAAGAGCGTGTGCCAGTACGAGCCGGTGTACATGCAGCTGGCGGATGAGAACAAGACAATTAACTGCTTTGAGCTGCACGAACTGCTGGAGGCCTGCCTGCCCAATGACTATATCAAGGGCTGTGCCAACATCGACATTTGCCGTCAGGTGATTGCCTTGCAGGACAAGAGCGGCAATGGACGCATCACATTTCAGCAGTTCAAGACGTTTATGGTGAATCTCAAGTCCTGGCAGGGCGTCTTCAAGATGTACACCAAGGAGAAGGCTGGCATTTTGCGAGCGGAACGTTTGCGTGATGCACTCTGTGACATTGGCTTTCAGCTGAGCACCGACATCATGAACTGCCTCATACAGCGTTATATACGCAAGGATGGCACCCTGCGACTCAGTGACTTTGTCTCGGCCGTCATACACTTGACGACGGCATTCAATCAGTTCCATTTGAAGAACTACAGCCAGGTGAATGTTATCGAGGTGCATCTGCATGACTGGATCAAGAGTATATTAAGCTGCTGATTTTAGCTGCTGATTGCAGCTGCCCTAAGGAGAGAAGAGAGAGTAGAAGTAGTGGCTAGAAAACTTACAATAAGTTTGATTCTTTTCCTGCAGACAGCCAGCAAACAAGAAACGAAACGTTAAAGTGACCAAGTCTCTTCTCTGGGTGTTCTTCTTTGCCTCACCTTGTAAATATTCTTTAAAGTGTTGCGACTTCCTTTTTTTTTTGAATACTTTTCCGGCACGCATAATAATAATTTTTGGATTTTTATAGCTCTGTTTTCTCTTCAAATTATTTATCATTAAATCTGTGTGGACGTAAAATAATTATTTGTGAATTTAATGCAATTTATGTTATGGGCATTTCCTACGCCACTAATTCCATTTGTATAGTTGTAGAATGTTGTGCATTGATGTCTCCTTCAAAATGATTTTGATATTTAGCCAAAAATGTTTTGTACTTTTTTTTCGTTATTAATGTTTGGTAAAACACTTTATTGGGTTGATAATAATTTAAAAATATTTGCACATATTTTTTTTAGTTAATTGAATTTTTACCAAATCAACCGTCAACGACTACAGATGTATTTTTTAATCGCTCCGCGGTGAAAATTCAATAAAGTCAATTAATCGCGATTAAATTCGCGAAAAAAAAGCGCTCGGGAGGATGGGTACTAGCGATCGTGCTGCCCATGAATACCATCCAATCGAGTAATAAAGACTAATAGAAATAATAGAAAAGAACAAGTGTCAACGTTTAAGAGCACAAGCTCGGTAAGGAACACAAGCACTGTAAGCAAAGCCAAAATGAGCCAAGCCCGGCAACAACAACAAGACGAGCGTCGGCTCTCGCAAGCAAAAAGCAACGCGTACTTCTCTATACGCTCGCCAAAGGCAGCAGTACCAACAAAAACTGCATCATTGCAAGTGAACGAGGAGAGAGCACGCTCTCTCCCCTGCATTGCAAAGTGGGTCATGGAGTGCTCAGTGCCCATCCCCCGACTCGTACTGCCTAACCAGCGATTTGCTAATATCGACAACAACTAGTACAATGCCCTCGCTCAAAACTGTGTCTTCGACCACAACAACGACAACAACCACAACAACAACCACTGCAATTGCCCAGCGCCCGATACTGTCGACCCACTGCGACAAGCCCCAACTCTCCCAACCAATAAGCTCAAAAAATGCTAACGGAGCGTTAATTCAGACTGGGCTCGATCGCTATGTGCAAATCAAAAGAAAATTGAGCCCACAAAATGTGAAGAACAACAATGCATCCAAAATAACTAAAATAACCGAGAACACTGTGCCACATAAGGCACTAGCAAACAATAGATTTGCGATACTAAGTGTCCCAAACGAAGATGAGATCACCCAAACACCCAAGGCCAAAAAATTAAGACCGCCACCTATTTATGTTCGACAGGCAAATTGTGCTGAACTGGTCAAAAAAATAACTGATACAATTGGCGCAAACACATTCCATGTCACGTACATAAAAAGGGGTAATATAAATGAAACAAAAATACAAGTCAATGACGAACAAAACTATCGATCAGTTGCGAAATATCTCGAAAATGAAAAAATGAATTACTACACCTACCAACTTAAAAGTAGCAAAGGATTACAAGTGGTTATCAAAGGAATCGAACCAACAGTCCCAATCAATGAGATAATAGATGGACTTAACGATAAGGGCTTCGAAGTCAAAATGGTAATGAACATAATAAATAGAAACAAAATTCCTCAGCCAATGTTCAAAGTAGAACTGACACCTGAAAGTATGCATATAAGGAAAAATGAAGTTCACCCAATATACAAGCTTCAATACCTACTGCACCGTAGGATCACCGTTGAGGAACCACACAAACGAAATGGACCGGTCCAATGCACAAATTGCCAGGAATATGGACACACGAAAACCTATTGCACTCTACGGGCAGTCTGCGTTGCCTGTGGTGATGTTCATCTCACTGAGGCCTGCCCCGTAAATAAGGAGGACCCATCTGCCAAAAAATGTAGCAACTGTGGGGGAAACCATACTGCCAACTATAGAGGTTGTCCTGTCTATAAAGAATTGAAAAATCGCCTAAACCAACAAATAACTGCAGCTCGTAACCCGGTCGTCCGACAAAACTTAACATATATACCATCAACTACGACTCCAGGAGTTTCTTTTGCTCAGGCGTTAAGTTACAACAACGGGTCGTACGCCTCAGTCTCTAAGCCGACACTTCAACCAACCACAGCTGGAATAATGCAGAATCAGGCATCAAATCAGATCCCAGAAATCTCTGCCCAACATACCCTGCTAATCCATCCCAATTGCCTAGTGGAATTGAGTCAATGCTGGTAACTATAACAAATACAATGGTAGCAATACAACAAACGATGCAGGAGCTTATGCGCAACCAAAATCTCCTCCTGGAGCTCCTAATCAAACAGAAATCTGTTTAAATGTCCTGTCTAAATATATGTTTCTGGAATGCAAATGGCATTTCTCAGCACAAATGCGAGCTCTTACAGTTCCTCGCTCAACACGACATTGACGCCATGCTCATATCAGAGACTCACCTAACAAATAAAAACTATTTTCACCTCAATGGCTATAACTTCTATGCGACAAATCATCCCGATGGTAAGGCACATGGAGGTACTGGCGTTCTGATCAAGAATCGCATTAGGCATTATCCATTGCCTTCATTTGCTACACCTTATCTACAGGCAACAGCAATTCATATTGAAATTCAGAGCGGCTACCTAAACCTAGCCGCAGTATACTGCCCACCACGTTTCTGCATTTCCGAAACAGAATTTGTAACATTCTTCGACCTACTAGGTTACCGATTTATAGCAGCTGGTGACTACAATGCCAAGCACACCCATTGGGGATCTAGACTTACCAACCCGAAAGGAAGACAACTATATAACGCTATAATAACCCCACGAAACAAGCTAGACTTTATCTCTCCGGGCAAGCCCACATATTGGCCCACAGATCCAAACAAGCAACCCGACTTGATTGATTTTGCAGTTACACGAAGGGTGCTGCAAGCTCAGATTAATGTAGATCACTTAACAGATCTATCATCGGATCACTCGCCCATTCTACTTCACCTTTACGACCATCCACAGCATTCGGAACGCCCACACTTTCTAACTTCTAGCAAAACAGATTGGCTCAAATACAGGAAGTACATAAGCTCTCATATTGATAGCTGCCCAAACATTAATTGTAAAGATGACATTGATAGGTCAGTCGAAGCATTGGTTTCCTCAATGTCACTGGCGGCAAAACACTCAACACCAATATTAGCATCTAATAAACATTCCAACAGCAGTCGTATTTCTAGGCACATTGAAGTGCTGCTACGCGATAAAAGAAGGCTTCGCCGAGAGTGGCAAGCACACAGATCACCTGCATCGAAAGAGCGGCTAAAAATAGCCAACCACCTACTACGCAGAGCCCTAGAAGATGAAAAAAACCGAGCTCAAATATCCTATATGGAGCAACTCTCCCCAACTAGCAAACGATTCCCACTGTGGAAAGCAAAATCAGGCGTATGCCCACCAATCGAGAGTGAATCACCTTTGCGTACACAAACAGGAGAGTGGGCTCGCAGCAACAAAGAGAAGGCAAATACATTTGCCGTCCATCTAGAAAACGTCTTCAAACCGCACCCAGCAACGAATAGCTTTGTGCTCCCACCAACCAACAATCCCGAAGCTACTCCGCCTATCATATTCCAAACAGGAGAAGTCACAAGGGTCATTAAAGACCAAATCTCAAAGCAAAAGAAAGCTCCGGGCCACGATTTCATCTCTCCTAAAATGATCATAGAATTGCCGAGCTGTGCAGTGTATTTTCTTACTATGATATTCAACAGCATGATGAAATGGGGCTATTATCCTCAAGAATGGAGGAAATCAGTCATCACAATGATCCATAAAGCCGGAAAAGACAAGTCCAAGCCATCATCATATAGACCTATCAGCCTACTGCCTTGCCTATCAAAGATATTTGAAAAGCTGCTCCTGAATCGTATCAAACAACACCTACACATCAACGGTGCCATCCCGACTCACCAATTTGGATTTCGCGAAAAACACGGAACCATTGAACAAGTAAACCGTATAACCTCTGAGATACGAAATGCATTTGAAGACGGGAGTATTGCTCCGCTGTTTTTCTGGATGTCGCACAGGCTTTCGACCGCGTTTGGTTAGATGGCTTAATCCACAAAATCAAAATATTACTTCCACAGAACATCCATGGAATAATGGAGTCATACCTACAGCAAAGAAGTTTCGCAGTACGATGCAAAGATTTCCTCTCTGAATATCATCCAATTGAAGCTGGTGTACCGCAAGGCAGCGTGCTTGGACCGACACTGTATATCATATTCACAGCAGATCTACCGACAAACAGCCTAACAACAACTTCGACATTTGCTGATGATACTGCCATATTAAGTCGCTCCAAGTGCCCAAGAAGGGCCACGGATCACTTATCATCTCATCTCGTGGCCTTAGAAAAATGGCTAGCAGACTGGCGGATACATGTAAACGAGCAAAAGTGCAAGCATGTCACCTTCACGTTAAACAGACAAACTTGCCCTCCATTATGTCTGAACAATATCAACATTCCACAAACCACCGAAGTAACATACCTTGGTGTTCATCTGGATAGAAGGCTTACTTGGCGTAAGCACATCGAAGCGAAGAGAAATCTACTTAAATTTAAAGCTAGTAATCTACATTGGCTAATAAACACCCGTTCACCACTAAAACTGGAGTACAAAGTACTTTTGTACAATGCAGTTCTCAAACCTATCTGGACATACGGCTCCGAGCTATGGGGAAATGCTTGCGTTAGTAATTTAGAAATAATCCAGAGAGCTCAATCGAAGATACTAAGAACTATTACTGGGGCACCATGGTACATACGGAATGAACATATCCATAAAGACTTAAATGTAGGATCAGTTAAAGATGAAATTGCCAAAGTGAAAGCAAAGTACCAGGCCAAGCTTCAAGCCCATCCTAATAGACTTGCGCAGTCTTTAACTTGGCACACTAGCCATACACGACTCCGGCGAAGAGACCTTCCCACCCAGCAATAATACTTAGCTAGGGACGTACTCTAAGTAATTAAGTGTAAATAATTAAATAAATATATTAGGCTAAGATTTGTATACTTGTCGTAAGTCTCTAATAGGGAAGATTCGATAAATAAAATCCCGTAATAAAAAAAAAAAAAAATTGAATTTTTAGGAGATTTTTTGTGCAAGAACTTTTATCAGATAATAATCAAGTAAGAAATGGTATTAAAAATACCATGCAAAAATTAACGTATGCTGATTTGAATTGGTTTTTATATCAAACTTAGTCAAATTAAATTTCAATCTGTTTTAATAAATCAATCATTGGAGGCAGAACTAAAGGGAAATGTTCGACTTTTATCGAGATAACATTTATTGGTCGCGTTGGACCTTTCCATGGAAATGCCCATATATGTATTTAAAAATATCTTTAAAGTGTGCCGAATTTTTGAATACCCTTCTGTCACTCATATAATAATAGTTTTTATTTGTATACCCCAAAATTATATTGTTTATCATACATTTATGAAGTGTATGTTGTTTTAAAAATTTGCCTTAGGTATTTGTCGCGCCGCACTTTTCGTTTCGTTTCTTGTTTGCTGGCTGTCTGCTGATATTTTCACGAATTTTCAACATTTGATTAAAACTTTAGATTATATTCCTACCCCTCTTCTTTTGTTTGTTGGCCACAATTAAAATTAAAAGCTTGTTTTTTTGTGTACGTTTAAAATTGTATAATTATTCAATCCAGCATTTTGTTTTTTTTTTTTTTGTTTTTGTTGAGAAATCGGTTCAATAGGTATGCATGTAATGAGTTACAATAGTAGTTGTTGCCCGAAACTAATTGATTAGTTTTTAGTAGTTCTAGTAGCTATGTATTATAGTTTAGTATTTTAGTTATGTAGCTAGATTTATAGTTGAGTGTTGTGTGTGTTTGTTTGTTTCTTTCTTTCTTTCTTTCTTTGTTTGATTTTCTTGATGCACGTACGAGTTTAAAAAGCAATTGAGAATGCGAGCAATGCGTATATTAGTTTGATTTTTGTTGTTTTGGTGCGATACACGGATACAGGAGCCCTCTGCTATTAGCGCGAATGTATACTAGACTTAATCAACATTAGTATTGCTTAAAACCTCCTTCGATCTGTATCTGCATCTGTATCCCCCCTTCCTTACTTAAGAGTAGACTAAAATATCATCAGTATCTCTGTAACTGTAACTGTATCTGTTATCTGTATCGAAATTACTGTGACGATCATGTGTAGTAGTTGTACCACGAGTAGTCGCAGTTGGTAGTAGTTGTTGTGGATGGACCTGCACCCTGCTCACTCTTTTTCGGTGTAATTTACATAACGAAACTCGTGCGGCATCCAGCAGACATTACATCGTTGTACCATTATGCGATGAGGCATCGCTGATGCGTCGCGACAATGTGGTCTTGCGGCTAATCGATAGTGTGTTCACATGTGTCGGTGTTGTGTCATTCCCTGCTGCTGTTGATGCTGTTGTTGTTGTTGTTGTTGTTGGGGCATGCATGGGCGAGCACTGCTGCAGCGAGCCGGTCACCTCATGTGGCTCCTGATAGCCGGAGTCCATGTCATCGTGATAGGAATCCATCAATGGTGTGGGATCCTCATAGTCATAGTCAACGAAACCATTATTATCAAACGACTGCAACGGGAGAGAGAGAGAGATGGAGAGAAGAGAAAATCCCATGAACATAGAGCTTTAGCCATCAGCTATGACTCCTGATATTTACCTTGACAAACGATTGCGAATGCTTGGCATAGCCCCGGAACACCTGACTGTGTGCCTTGCCGCGATAATCCACCGACTCGTAGTGGCCCCCATCCTGTGAGTTCTCAATGATGAAATGCCTGGTGCCATGCGGTGTCAGAGTGGCCCACAGCAGGCGGCTGTCATTCACCAGTTGACTCTGCAGCAAATCTCTGCTATTGGCCGTGGCACAGGGATACAAAATGCCGCCCGAGGAGAAGGCATTCGATTTGGTTGCCTCACCCAAAGCATTGATGGCCGTTTGCTTGATGTTTGCATCATGATAGGAGAAGAATGTGCTGCAAAAATTTTGTAACCCATTAATTAAGGCCGCCCTTTTTTTTTTTTGCCGTTTAACGTAAACGGAGGAAACTTACTCCCTGCATCTGATGACAATGATGGCCAGAAAGCAGCCCAGCACGAATATGCCCACACAGGAGGACACAAAGAACCAAATGTTTTCCAGACTTTTGGTATCGCTGCGCACCAGCTCCATCAGGGCATTGCCATTGCTGTCATTATGCTGGCCCTGGCCCTGTCCGCACATGAACGCGGCAAAGCAGGGCTGCGACTCATTGGACGGCATCAGTGTCTCAATGGTTGTCGGTTTGCTGATCAGGAACGATGGCAGCGGTGGCGGTGGCATTGATAAAATAAAATCGGGCGGCGGACCCGCCAATTGGTCGCAGCTGCCCACACAATTACCCAATACTATATTCATTTTTGAGAGCTGCCAAAAAATACAAAAAAAAAACAAAAAAACAACTCATTAATAAATGTATCTGTAAAGGGATAACAGACAGAGTTGCAGAGTCGCCCCCTGCCGCAAAGCAGGACATGGCTATAAATCAATAGCGGAATACCTACATCCTCTAATAGGTATAATATATTTGTGTATGTGGTGTGTGTATCGGTTCAGGTCCAAAACATTGCCTTAATTTGGGGGTAGGTTTCTCTAGCGTACTATTACGACCGTAAATATTTTGAGACTAGACTACTTTTTTTTTTTTTGCTTATTATCCCCAAAGATTATAATAATAGCGTGCATCCAATACGCAATCTTAAATATACAAGTGATTAATTTCTAGCACAAAATTCCACTGCCGGAAATGTAAGTTCCATTCACAACCATTCAAAATTATGGCCAGTTGGAATTTTTAGTTTAGTTTATGGATCACAAAATATATTAATGGATGCCATAAGTAGAGGCGCACTTGGAAAAAAACAAAACAAACAAATATTCAAAACGGTTTTGCACACCTTTCCGTGTCCTGTGTCGATTGAAATTCTACTCTGAACTGAATGCCCAGACACTATGCTATCCCGAAATGCATATCCTCCAACCCACACAGCACAGCACAGACCAGACCAGAGCCGTAAGTGCGCGCGCGCATCTCCATCTCCCCTTATTGAATGTCTGGCATCTAACCCTTGGCCACTGTTTAGGCCACACCCCGGCTGGAGCAGGCATACACAATTGTAAACACATCTCCTTTTTTAGCGCGTATAGGAATTGCGCTTCAAATGTTTGTTATTTCAAGTAAAGCCAACAGAGGGCTTGGAGCATCAAAACATCTCCTCCCTAAGCTTTAAGTGTCCTTATTTTATAATAATAAAAAAATTAATGGAAATTAAGATATATATTTATTTGTATAGATTTTGGTTCATTTAATATAATTGTTGAATGAATTCGTTGCCTTAGCAGACAGTGCAGCATTTAAAACTTTGTAATAGCTAAGCTGGCGGTGAGCGCACATCCTTGCTGCCATCGCTGTCATATCGATGCTCGACTCGACACGCACAAGCAAATGCTGGCAAAGGATGGTCTATAAAGAATAGGGAATAAAGAAGGGACGGCTTGTTTAATTCTTTCGTCCAAACCCTTTCTTTAGATGATAATATTTTCATAATTTCCCTACATTAAACCATTCTTTAGGCAGTTCTTTAATCCAGAAATAAATCTATAAGTTCTTCGGCCCATTAACTTCATTCGGATGATTAACTTCAATTAATCTTCTTTGGATTTAAATCCTATAATTGCTTATTTTATTTCTTATTTCCATAAGCATGGCACTTCCTTCCTTCCTTTTGGCTGTGAAGCAGGCGAACCAGTTACTGATGAATCAAGTCAAGATTGGATTGCCATTTGATAATTATGCCGTGGCAATGGTGTACGAGCTGCAACATAACGCAAAAATGCAGCCAAATCACCAGCAAAACCAAATCAAATCCATCAGAAACCATCAAAATCAGTGACCAGACACACCAGCTGAACCCACCCAATCGAAGAAAACCTGATAGTCCATTTGATTGATTGATTGTCTGTGGAGTCTGCAACCCAGGGCATGCATGGTCATCTGTTACCGGCAGGGCATCCTTAGCCAAAGGCTAATTGCTCGAGCATTGCAGTGTTTATCCGTCTTGTCCATGTCATCGTAGCCTGCCACATCAAGGAGAGCCGGGCCTCCCGTCTTTGCCATCCTACATTAAAGATTACATTTTGATACAGTCAAAAAGTATTCGCTGGTGTTGGAAAGAACCGCGTTACACATATATGTACGTTATAAAAAGATATTATAGCGAGCACTTTGGCCATAATTTACCCACACATCTTTACATTTATATTATGCTGCATTTTATACATTATAAATCTATTTATGCACCTTGGATGGTGTCTAATATTTACGCCTAATTATTTTGGGTTTTAGAAAAAACAAACAAAACAAAAACCAGCCCATGATTACAGGCCTAGTTTTAAAGCTACAATTGGTATGAATGCTCGTTTGTATCAATTAGTTGGATTTCTTTTCGCCATAGGTCATCACAACGCCAACTATTAAGGCGGCTACAGTGAATCCCTGGGCAGCGATACGTGTGCGCATCATGATTTGGGACATCTTGCGATTTCCAGTGCGGAAATTATACAGGCCCATTGTCAGGGCAGCGGTAGTGGCCAGGCATCCTATGTAGGCGCGGGGAGGTGCAAGCACATTAATTAATATATTATTGTTTTTATATAACAGAAATTGCGTCGAAATGCCGCAGACCGCTTACCAATCGGAACCAGCGGGTTCTCCTTAATTTTGCGCTTTAGCTTTTCCTTGGTGGTTTCCACCTCAATCACGGGTCCCAGGTCCTGGCGCAGCTGTATCCAATCCAATTCCTCTTCGGGCAGAGTTATCTGTGCCTTGCCCGACATTTTTCAAGTTATTTTTCAATTCAAAATGTCAAAACAAAAATATACAGCAGCTGCGCTGCTATGATTTATATCGATCAAATATATCGTAATGTACCAATAAAGTTGTGAAATTATATACCGATAAACTGAAAATCATGAGTGAGTGAACGAACTTAACCCACTTAACCCCCTCTATTTAAACAGGTAACAACTTGGGCTAAACCGCGAAAAAATAACACTAAAATCTTTTTAGATCCATCCTATCCTTCTTCTTTACTTGGATAAAAATGACCATAATATAATTCACCTGAACTGCGTTAAAATTCTTTCAATTTCATAATATTCCTGGAGATGTATACCCCGTGGTTGACAATGAGTTAAATGTGCTTTGCGGGCATTTTATATTAATACTTTAATTAAATATGCTCAGTAAATAGTTTATAATATGGTTATCACATGAAGAATCCACTAAAATTAAACATTTCACCTTCATAACGCAAGTGTTTAGGTTAATTAGCTCCTCTGCCACCAATCTACATATCCAAACTAAATTATATATGTTTCTCGCTCCCAATGCATGCATTTTCCGAAAGGTCCCTAATTGTTGTGGAATACGACCATTCAAAATTTTCTGATCAGACTTTTTTAGGTTTTTAGGCTACTAGTAAAGCTACTTCTTAACAAAAAGCTATTTTATTGATTTTCCAAATATTTTATATAATTTATTTTATTATAAACGGTAATCGTTATGGTAAATATGTATAAATCTATGCATGTTTTAAAAGACAACAATTACTGTGAGCGGCAATAATTAAATGCTATCGAAACACCCTTGGCTTGGGATGTTCAAAAACCGTTCACAAAATTTGACTGCTGGGTATTTGTGACCTCACCAACACGCTTACATACAGCTGCATTATTTTCACATTGTTTCGCTCTTTATAAAATGAGAGAGAGCGAGAGAAAAAACGAGAGAGGCACTTGGGAAGTACAGTCAGACGGGGAACGCAAAATGAAACATGTGTATGTAGGCACCAGTTTGGTTGTGTGCGTATATACGTATACCCCGCGTGTATGTATTAATATGCTTGTATTGACTCATATGGATGGTATGCCCGCTTGTAGAAATGGGATTGACGTACATACAAATGTACATATGGATGTACCATTTCGGATACACACAAGTAAAAATAAAACATGCTCGAAATTTTAAATTGGTTTTATGTTTGCATGAACGTTGCGTCCACAGCATAACGTAAAATGTTCTTACATTATACAGCAATATGTACGTAACGTACATATGTACATTCTTGTTAACAGTCAGAAAATACTGTTTACAAGTATACATAAATATGTATGCACATAGGTAGATATGTATGCTTTGACAGCATTTCTTTATGTACATATGTATGCATGTACATACAATGATATGCTTTTATAGGGCGGGTATAGAGCGCATACGTACATACACGAATGTATGTATGTACATAAGTTTGTACAGAAGTAACAACCCAACATTTTTTTATAAGGCCTGCTGCTGCTGCTCCCTTCCACCACGTGTATGTACATAGATATGTATGTACGTATACATATGCTCTGACGCCAGAGAGAGAGAGAGTGCGAGAGAGAGAGAACTGTGCTCAGTAAACTGTACTAAAGGTATATAAAATACAAGGTAGGGGAAGTACAGTGAGCGACTCTAGGCGGCAGTCAAAACAGCTTCAGGAGCGTGTTCCCAACGAGAGAGAGAGGGGGTGGAAAACAAAGAAGGATAACCGAATAGGCGACTTGCCTCACCCTCTGTTCCATCTGCCTTGTGCTCACAATATATACATACACACAAACGTACACAAGTATACACACACAGCTGCGCATTCAACGCATACAGAAGTTTTGGCGTAACGTAGACCCTGGCAAGACGGCAATTCAATTCAAAGCCTTTGCATTCGCGTTGTTGGTACGGTACTCTCTGTGTGTGTTTTCAATCAGGCGAGCGGAGCGGCGCGCAAACCATCTTTTCCGCATTGATAGCAACAAAAAAAAAGAACACAACGCATTGCTGCATATGTAGCGTCGTTTGTTTATTTTTTAGTAACTAAAAGCAAACAACAAATTCCCCCCAACAACGCGTTACGTACGTTACGTTTCGTTGCGTGCGCTGTCGAGTGCCGTAAGAATCGGAGTCAATTTCAAAATTACCGTGTGGCGTCTGCCGTGTACATACATATGTACAAACGTAAATGCGTTGTGTGTACATACAATAATCAATACAACGTCGAATAAATACGTCTAGAACAGTATTTGAAAGCTGGTCTCAAACCAAAGCTAAAATTGAAACAGAAACTCCATTGCCATTGACACAGTGCTTACGTTACGTTGAGTGTGTGTGTGTGTGTGTAGTGCGAGAAAGAAACGGCAAGAAAAGAAGGAAACTCCTTAAATCCCAGCACTATTCGTAGTGCTACACAAAAAGAACGTTAATTTAAAGAAACTATTCGAACCGATCGGCTCCGTTATGGATCACTTTCATCAAATACAGGTAAGCTTGTGTGCAGGTATACGGCATTTATTTAATGTTCGTACATACATATATACAGAGAGACACACATACGTATGCAAACATAAGGCGTGCGGCCTGGCCTGGTCGCTTGCCGCGTTTTCGTTGAAAGTTAATGATTTTCCCGCCAATGCCAATACATATGTGCAAGCGTACCATGGCATATGTACAACCTTAAATTGTTGTAAGCATTTCTGCAGCAAAAAAAAAACGAATTAAAGCGTACCCAGGTGGAAATTTTGTCTGTGATCATCCGTTACATACATACATTAGAGTGGCTGGCTTGCTATATAGATATGTGTGTGTACCTGTACATATGTATGTGAATTTGTTTAAGCGTTTTTTTGCACGTAAATTTGTTTTATGTAAAAAGTAACTAATACATTAACGTGTTTCATTTACGTGTGCGTGTGTGTGTGTGTGCGTGCATGCATACAAACAAAAGCGACGCTGTACAAGCGAAATTTTATTTTGCGTGCGCATCTAGGGCCGCCATTTTTTTTTATTAGTTTGTACAAATATATTCATGTCCAGTATATAATATATAATAATACATATTAATATGTATATTTATGTGTTTACACGGTTGTAAATGTATTTGCATTTAATTAAAAAAAAAAAAAATATGAATGTTGAAAGTAATGCGCATTGATAAATGCTTCACCAACACAACCATAAAGCCAGTTTATGGATATGAATGTGTGTGTGTGTACAAACTAGAATATGCACACAAAAATCACAGCTTGCGTAATCTAAAATTCGCCGTATTTTCCCCCCATATGTATGTACATAATATATGTATGAACATACATCCCAGCATACATATGTATACGCAAAATGCTTGGCCAATTCTCATGCTACCAACCATTTTCTCTTCCTTTCTAACATGTGTGTATGTTCGTACGCGTGTACATGTGCATGTATGTATGTATAGTTTTCAAGCAAAGCGGCGTTACCCACGTGTAAAAAGGTCTCTCAATTGGTTTAAAATTAAACCATTCGAATGTTCCACCTCACAAACAAATAAAACAATTTGAATTGCTTTGTTTATAGAGTGAGACCCCCGTCCCGTCTGGCAATATTTTGTGCAAATTAAAGCTTTTCTTTTGTTTGCCTCTGGGCCAGGGGCCCTGGGTAATCTTCCATTCAGCCCCGTCATTGATTGTCTCTGTTCTGTGACACCCTGGTTCTTTGCCGGAACTGGCACTGGAATCAAAATAAAAGCATTCGGCGAAACTGGTTCACCAATAAAACGGAACCGGTACCACAAAAGATTTCTCGTCTCGTCTCTCCCCCAAAACGCATTTTAGCCTTTTATCTAAAAGAAAAACAGCTGAGCGATTGTTTTTTGTTTTTTTTGTTTGATGCGTTGTTTAGTCTAGCACACTAGATTGTATGTGTGCATTTTCACATACATACGTACATAAATACAGATGTGTATACAAATGTGGGGCCATAGAACGCGATAGAAATCGATAACCGAGATTTTTGCCGGCTGTTTGGAAATGAAACGTTTTCTTCCGGCTTTTTTCTTTTGTATGAAATGGATGCGGCGCACACCCAAGAACACACACACACACACGCACATGGATTTATATGGAAATAAATATAATTATTTTGGTTTTTATTTGCTTTTCGTAGAATTTTGTGTTGTAGACATTTGTTGTTGTTTTTTTTATTTCTGTTTTGTTGGTTTGCATTCGACCGGAGTATCGCTGTCAATGCAATTAAAACCACTATATTTTATTAATCACTAATCCAATCAAACCAACCCGCACATGTCCATTAATGTTAATCATTTATTACTGAGTTAGTGATTAAGTAGTGCGATGCCAGGCGCGAGACGAGTGTCCGGGGACTATAGCCACAAACTTGTAGTTGTTGCAGTAGAAAATAGTTTGTAGTTCATAGTCGTAGATATCCTAATAATAGGCCATAGCCATTAGACACTCTCCGCTCCGGCTGGCATCGCACACACCTCTAATCACAAACACAACCAACAAACCTATTGATCAGCAAACCATTCAACACTATCAGCAGCAACTGGCTGCGCAGCAACAACAACAAGTACAACAGCAACAGTTGCAGCAGCACCAAGTGGTGGTACAGCAGAATCAGCAGCAGGCGCATCAGAATAGCTCCAATACCGCTGCCGGTGTTGGCACCCAACAGCTGTTCACATACAAAATGGCCAGCAGTTTCCCGAATCCAGCCACGACGATGGCCCAGGTTGTGGCCACGTCGAATGCTGCTGGTACCACAGGCTATGACTATCGCCTGAATATGGCACAGGCTGCGGCGGCCGCAGCAGTGCCCGGCTCTCAGTGGTGGTATTCGGCCGCAAATCAGGGCCAAGTGGATGCCAACACAGCTGCCCAACTGCAGCAGCAGCAGCAGCAACAACAGCAACAGCAGCAGCAACAACAGCACCAGCAGCAACAACAGATGCAACAGCAGCAACAGCAACAGAATGTTATCAATACGGCGGTAAGTTATAGCAAAATAAAAAATTCCCCCCATCCTCCCGTAAAGAACCGATCAATATCCAA